CTAACACCATCGTCATCATACGAATCAGTGGTTTTAAGCTGATCAAAGCTTCTTGCACCTTTGACATGCAGGAGAAGTAAACGTAGACAATATCGTTCATTATCAGTAGCTGATATAAAGTACGTTCGCCCAATCGGTGGATGCTTTTGATGATTGGGTCGTTTTTTCATAGGTGTGTCTTGGCGTCTTGAAAATAGGTGGCCGGTATGTCATTATACAAAATAGACCTTGCATTGATGTCATCGCAGTTAAGCTTAAAATAAGCTGTCAGTGTAGTCTGTTTTTCGATTGCCCTCTGGATTTCGACATTACTGGCTCCTTCATCAAAAGTAACATTCTGTTGATTTGGCAAATGAATGGCTTCTCTTTTGATGGAAGGTTGACATGCATGAGTACGTTTACGCATTATGCGCCAACATGCTTCTACTGTGGATATATACGGAACACTTAGCCAGCTCGTGATTTCATCGAGTTCATCATCATTATCAGGCAAAATCACAGTTGGAGTGGTAGCTGTAATATGGTCATGGTCGGTTTTAGCAGGAAATACTGCAATTTGAGCACGATCTGATCCTTTGTATATATACTTGAATAGATATTTATAGCCTGATTTCCAGCACAAAATTCAACGTTGATAAGTGTGTTGTATTTACAGCAAGGTATAGATTGTGAGGAACAACCCAACGATTATCAGCACGGTACCCATTTGGGAAAAGAACAAAAAGATTTGTAGGACGTCTTCTGTATTTAGCAAATCCTTTTTCATCAATAACAGTTGTATGGTAAATATCTTTTGGAAAGTGTTTACTACATGATTTGTCTTTGTTATCCCGACACAATCTCACTTTACCATGGGAATCGGTTAAAGATATATTGCAAGGGGTGTGCATCATATGCTTAGTGATTGTTTTAAAGGCCTTTGGAAAACGAACAGGATCAGGGATTTCAGCAGATATGTATCTATCTATATCGCGAGGAGTATGAAGCTTAGAAAACTCAGCAAGAATGATTACAACATGGGCGTGGGGTAGACCACGTTTCTGATACTCAATTACCTGAATCAAGCCCTTAACCTTACCGAATATTATTTTATACTTGATATCGGTGAAAATTTCTTTAAGTTTTAAATCGAAAACTCGACAGATTAAATCTGGACGCTCCGAAGGGACCTCACCCGGAAGCAGTTCATCAACAATTTCTTTCCAATTTGGGTTGCAAGTGATAGTTACAAACAAGTCTGGCATTCCCAATGCTCTAACAACAGCCATAGCATCTTGTTGCATTTGATGTAACGCTCTTGGAGAGCCAGTATGACTGGAGGGTAAGATCACTCTTTTTCCAATTGACTCTCTACTCATATCCACACCAACTCGTACATCAGCTAATCCAGAGTACAACTCGGACCGTAAAGTGCTTTGATTTGTGCGCAAATAGTACAGTCTTCGCCCCTCAATTTTACATTACATGTCCACAATATACAAATGAAATAATCGACCAACATGACATGTCATTGTTTCTCGAGGTCTTACTTGCAAACGATGCTGATAAAATTGGTTTAATGAGACCGATTTCTGTGTTAGCCGGTTGCTGCTAAAACTCTGCTCATCTCTTTCCTGATTTCTCTCGATTGCCTCATCGTCTAAATTTAACTCCAAATTGGTGTTCCATCCATCTTCACCTCCAGGGAACATTAATGATAAGTGTAGGGAATCATAAGAGCTCTGACAATCGTTCATGTTTTTGGGAAACCCGGTTACTGTTGAAAATACGATAACTTCTCTACTACCTTTCGTAACTTCGTCAGGTACGGTTGCATCTGCAATATATGCTGCAACTTCATCCGCAATAGGTACATCATACTGGCGACCAAGTCCAGGATTTCCTCGCACATAGACGTAAAAATCTTTCGGTTCCTCTTGATTATCTACTGCATATGAGGAAAATCTTTGTCTCGCGTTTTCAAAAAGATTGGCATACGGTGATATTTCCTCCATCATTTGATTTAATTGGGCAACTAACTGACGATCCAAAACTTCATTGAAATCAATGTGTTGTTGTATACGTAAATTTGGATCGCTGAAGTATACTTGAGCAAATAATGGATTTCTACCTTCACCAACAGTTAATGGAGCAGAACGATGATAGGTTCCTCCTTGAATTCTGAATGTGAATGATCCTTGATTGGATCCACTAAACGTTTCATCCACGTGATCAGCTCTAAATGATGTAAATGCAAAAGCATTGTTGTACATTCGGATATTCTTTCTGAATTCAGTACCTGTGGGATGCTCTCCAGTCAAAAGTTTCTGCATAAGAGTAGTCGGCATAGCAACAATATCGATTTTGACTTTTCCATTACTGCAGCAAAAAGAAAAATTTTGATTTGTTACTTGTTCTTCTTTAAAAAGCATGGCATGGCAATAGGGGCATCTTTCTGTCATCCCTTGTAAATTATGACGTCCAAAAAAATCCGAAGTTGAATCTTCACGGTATATACCTCTACGTTCACGAAGAATATTTGTCTCTTCAAAGTTATCGTGGCACGCACGATTCAAGTCGTGATCTCTGGCTAAATAGAGAATAAGGTTAGAAAGTTTGTTTTTGCGTTCCATTTCCATTTTACCTGTTGAAGATCGTGAGTTATTTTCGGGATTGGTGCTGTTGGTAGCGTCATTCTGAATCTCAGGTTCATTGTTAGAGTCTCTACTGCTGTTACTGGATCTCGGGGCTCTGGGAATGTTAATTCGACTTGATTGTTTTCTACCTCTGGGATTAGCTGATTCCGCTGCATTGAATCTGGCTCTGCCTCTGCGTCGAGGACTACCTCCATTGAAATGAATAAATTCGTGATCACCAATGTTAGACATTTGTTATTGTTCGTGAAAAAAGGGGCTGAACAAAGTTAAAGCTTTTTTTTTTTTTAAAAATTTATAGCTGTGACACCCAATTTTCGGAAACAGCTAATCAGTATTTTTTTTTCACTCAATGTTTAATGTACTGTGTTGGTCGGGACTTTCAGCCCCTCCCAGCTCACTCAATGCTAATACACATTTTTTCACTCAATGTTTTCTGTACTGTGATGGTCGGGACTTACAGCCCCTCCCAATTCACTCCATGCTAATACACATTTTTTCACTCAGTGTTTTATGTACTGTGTAGGTCGGGACTTACAGCCCCTCCCAATTCACTCAATGTTTATTATTCCCATACATGTCGGTTGCTTCGACCTGCGCTTCGCTTGGCCGCGCAAAAAAAAAAAAAAAGAACAGTCCGAATTACTAAATAAGGTATATACTGCAAAGTCAAAACAATCATTATAATATTGATGGGAGAAGTATTGACAGAGTGCGGGATAATTTATATGGAATCTGTTCAACAGGATCATTGTGGTCGCCTTCAACTATTCTCATAGTAAGAATCTCTAAACTGCAAAGTCTACCACATTTAACCTTATCTTTTAAAACTTTCCAAAGTATCTGAATAGGATTTAGCTCTGGTGAATAAGAAGGTAAGTATACGGGTACAAAAACTCTTTCGTCCATCCAAGGGTCATCATGGCTGTGACTATTTATTGGTGCATTGTCCATACGAATGTGAAATCCATACATATTTGTAAATTCGTCCATGATATCCAAGGTGTCACTTATAAACTGAAGGTAATGACCAGTAGTTGTACCTTTAGAGATTGCTAATACTGCACTACCAGGTAACTTACTCTTAGTGGCTTCTACCACTTTTCTTCTTTTTACGTTACCTAGATCCATAATACTCAGATTACCATCCCCAAATGCTGATACCGCACCGATTATGATACGCGAGACCCCTCTCGCAGAAGGTGACTCAATAACCGCATTAGTTTCTCGTTGTGACTAAGGTCTTAAACGCCGCATGTTTATTTCGAAACCCGATTCATCAATGAAGAGACAATTTGTCATAAAATCCATCCCTTCAGCAGGCCATTCATCAACAAATTTAGCACGAGCCTCCAATGTTTTGGTGGTAATTTTGGCTAGAAGGTAATGAGTAACTATATTGATACTGAGGTTGGAATCCTTTTTCATAAACTATGAAACTTTGCGTTCATTTATTTTGAGACCTTCAAAGCTTTTGGTCCGACTTTCCACAGTATCTTGAATGACAGCTGATGGGTTTTCGTCAAAAACGGTTCTTAGTTAAAGATTGTGTTTTTAATTTAGCTTGCTATCGGTTCTGTTGGACGTGCGATTGGTTTTTTAAACGGAATGTCCTTATCCCGATCTTGATCCTAGGCACGTTTCTACTTTCTTGCAGTCTCATAGTTGACGTTTGCCGCTTTGGCAGCTTCGGACAATTTTATGAGCGTTCCCTGAATGAAATAGAAAGGACGCAGTCAATTTTGATCTGTATACAGTTAGTCTTTCTACCCCTTTCACTGCTTTTGACATGGCAATATCCTTAGGTTCTTCATTATCTGTGGTTACGTTTTTATCGTAATATAGTTCTTGAGATTCATCAATTTTGCCTTGCGAAATGAGAGTTCTACGACAAATTTGGATGCTTCTTCTCCAGATTAATCTACAATTCTGCCTTAATCTTCTTATTGAAAGAAATTCGTTTTGAATAATATTATAAAATTTTACTGAGCTGGTAAAAATATTTGTAAGAAGTGGGCAAATCACTTTCTAAAAGGTGGGTAAATTAGGTTCAAACATTCGCTCAAGATAGTTTTTTTCGGGGCAATTTAACTTCACACAATAAGCTAATTGTTTTCAAAGAGGTGGCGGTCTTTCGAACATTCGGTAAATTCAGAGTAGAAGCACAGTAGGTTGATTCATGACATTTTTTGAGCCTTTACCTCCGATATTGACCATATTTCGTGACACCCCAAGAACTATTGCACAGTTGATACAGCCTAATTTTGTTTGTTATTTAATGGTAGAGTCATATAAACCGCTTCCGTGACCATTGGTGTATCACCCGCGGAACGGTATGGATACATATATGTAACAGATTTTAAAAGACTAATCTTTATTGTGTTTGCCTACTCGGCGTTTCTTCATATTTTGTTGGAGTTGTTGCCGGTCATTGGGCTCCAAAGGTCGTTTTTTGGCCGGACATCTGTGATATTGGCCTGGTCGGTGATTTAGGTTTGATTTTTTCTAAAAAGGTGTGAGTATATGATAGTTAAAATAATGAAGAAAACATTTACTTACTAAACAATCAAAGATTTCATCATCCTGGAAGCAATTATTTTTCGAAATACGATCCAGCAGTTGTCGAACAAACTTATAATCAGGTTTCTGCGTGAAAGATAAGGATTTCGCATAATCGAGAATTTTTGCAAACTCTACTTCCAAGCCATTGCACAATTGATTTGAAGTAAGTCTCTCTTTTTCTTTTAATACTTGTCGGTGTTTGGATCCTTTGTAATTGTTTTTGAAATCGATCCATGGTAAACTTCCTTTCATTAAGTATACGATAACATATACCAGAGACTCAATATCATCTCGTCGTGATTGTTCTAAAAAATTGCTGTAAATATCTTTTGGAATGAAGTGATGTTAGAAATTTACACTTACGTAGTTTTTTGTGCGCATTCACACTAGCAAAACAAATTGTGCCCTTGAAAGGAACTTTTTTTGCGGCAGGGATGTGACTTTTGCCGTTCCTGTAGTACTTGCTTAAACCGAAATCCAGTAGATATACCGTATTTCGGTCGTTCTCATTGGCCCCTATAGCAATATTCTCTGGTTTAAGATCCAAATGTAATATTCCTAATTGCACAAAAACTGTTAGCATTCGAACATTTTATTGTCAGCATTCGAATAGTACCTTTGTCATGGAGATATTCAATACGATCAACCTAAAAAAAACAATACGTCGCCTGAAAATTAATGAAAAAATAGAATGTGTTTACAACTTCATACGTACGAGCTGTTTGGCAATCAGGACTGTTGATTTTAAGCCTAATTTTCCTTCATGTATTTCCGCTTGATCAAAAAGATCTTTTCGTACCAAAGTGAATACTAGATATCGAAAACCGCTTTCTTCAAAAAAGCTTATCATTCGTAGGAAGCCGTGTTTGTTTCCAATTTTTTCGTAAAATTCCTTTTCCCTGCGTAATTGCGGTACTTTGGAATTTATTTTTTCTTGTTTAATCGCGACATCCTGTTTTGTTTGAAAATCGAATGCTTAAATTTTGAACATAATTAGTTGCGAAAACAAAACTAATGTCAACATGTGAAACATTTACCTTTGAAGATGGTGCCATAAGATCCTTTTCCCAGTAATGATGTCTTTTTAAAACGGCCGTTTAAAATAACTTCTACCATTGGTAATTCTGTTACGATGGAAAGAAATACTTGCTATTTCACACAGCCAAAAAAAAAAAAAAAATAGATAAAGGTATGTCTCAGGTCATTGATGACGTGTTATTCAATAAATAGTCCGACAATCTAACGTAATACACGATTTTACACTTAAGTGTGATTCACAAAGCTTTTTCCCTTTAAAATCATAGCGGTACCCTCATTTTCACATGGTAGCCATATTCATGGCTATTCAAAATCACTAACGAGCTCCATCAGAAATATTGCAGGACAAGCTTTACCTCATCGAGCCTAGCTGAAATGATCCTAATTCGAAATCACGAATTAACATCTTTCTAGAAGACAACCTTATCGTAACACTTACTAACCTTAAATACCAGAACCAAGCCATTCATAGTAACAGTAGTTGTCAGTCGTGTCTTTCTTACTTTATTAAAAATGACATGGGATATTTTACTTAAATACCAAATTATCTAATATGGGCTTTCTTCTTTGATACCGTCTGGATACGCTTGCTGCCAATTATTGCCCGGGTAAAGTTACCACGGTTATTTTAATGAACAACCAGCTGCTGCCGCTCAGGAGACTCATATTTGTTTTGGTAAAGGTAGAAATTTCTTCGCCGCCGTTGCGGTCCTTCAGTGTAACATCAATGTTAGTCTCGACCTTTCCAAATTGCCTTTCTGGTAGTTGCCAAACTACAGGCTACTTTGTTCGATTATTTCTATCGATTCGATAGCGTGAGAGAAGTCAAAATCAATCTAGATGACAAATAACCACAGCGTTTTGTCCCAATTGAGTTAACTATATTGATAGAACATCTAAAATGAGTAATCTAGATCCTGTGATAACCTGATTGACGAGATAGATTCATGTAATCAGTACCTTTGCCTTAAAAAATCAGCTGTACACTAATTTCATAAATTATTCGTGCACTCCAGGAAAAAAATTCGTTCATTTTTACCATAAAATTTCGTTCAGCGCCCCAATAATATTTCGTTTAAATTAGGAAAAAAATTACGCGCATTTAAAAGTGAAAAATTCGTTCATTTTCTGGAGCTAGTTTACAAAATTACATTTGCAATGGATAACATTATTATTGAAGATGGTCAAGGAGGCGCAATTGATGAGCAGGGAAATGAGATTGTTGAAATGTTAATGGATGTCGACTACGAGACTTTTCCCTTGGAAAACGCTACAGAGTATGATCAATATGTCGATGTCAAGCCAACCGAGAAAGAGAAAAAAGCGGTTAAGAAAGAAGAGTTTGTGGAAGCTGAGACTGGCAGCACCGACCCTGAAATGCCTATTCGAAAGACTTATAGACGTTATAAAGACGAGGATAAAGAAAAGTTTTTTTATTATTATACACAGACAGATATGTCCACCCGAGCAATTGCTCAGAAATTGAATATACCTCCTTCAACAGCGCAAACATGGGTAAAACAAAATGAAAAAGATCCCCAAGACACAATCATGCGAAGACCCGGCAGTGGAAGACCAGTTGGTAGACCCGCATTGCTAAATGAAAACCACGAGGCTTTTTTGGTCAACCTTGTAGACGAAAATGCTGGGTTGGTTTTGGATGAGATGATGGAAAGTTTGACAAATGAGTTCAGTGACCTCAGCATTTCCAAAACGGCACTCTATAATTTTGTAACCGAGAAATGCCGCATATCTTTGAAAAGAGCCCACTTTCACTCTGTCGAAAGAAATAGTCCTGAGAAAATTGAGCAGAGACGTCAATGGGTTATTAGATGGATGAGTACTGATATGGACTACAATAGTAATTGCGTGTTTATCGATGAAGCTGCGTTTCATATTAATATGAAACGTAGCGTAGCATGGTCTAAGAAGGGAGAACGTGCGGTTGTTGTTGTGCCTAAAACAAGAGCAAAAACAACAACTATTCTGGGGGCCATCTCACCTTACGGTGTTGTCAACGTCAGTATCCGACGTCCAAGAGTTGCAGCCTCTTCAAAAAAAAGAAAAGCCGAAGGAGGAAAGCCTGTCAGTATCAAAGGCGGGACCGTTACAGGTCATTATTTTAACTTCATTGCCAACACAATAGACGTAATGGATCGACACGAGGAGTTTAAGAACCACTACCTTGTCATGGATAATGCGCCTATCCACACCAACAAAGATATACAAACATATATCGAAAAACGTGGGTATGGCTGTATCTATCTCCCTCCTTACTCCCCTGAACTGAATCCAATCGAACAGTTTTGTTCAGTTTGTAAGAGCAAACTTAAGCGGGTAAAGCTGTTGGATGAAGAGACCTTGACAATGAGAATAAGAGATGCATGTAACAATGTACTTATCAGTGACCTCCAAGGCTTTTGTAGATATTCTACAAAAAAATTTGATGATTGTCTTGATGGTAAACCCATTTAATAAAATATATTTTCATTCGTTCATTTCGTTCGTAGACTCTGCACGAATTATTTATTAATTTTTGAGCGATAATTTAATTCGTCGCTGAACGAAATTTTTTCTTGAAGATGAACGAAATTTTTTCCGTGAGTGCGCGAATATTTTGTGAAATTAGTGTAACTGAAATCATATTGTGTATATGTTACACAGATGAGGATTACCGTAAGAACTGTCATAAAATTTTAAATGTAAGTAACACGTGGAACCAGTGTAAGAGACGCGGCTGTAATGCTTGGCGTTGTCTCGGCGGTCCCGATAAATTAAATAGTTCGTAACAAAGAACAAGTTTATTTACTAACCATCAATTGTTTTTAAGTAAGCTCATTTCGACCCTTAATGTGGACGATAATTTTACGAAAAGACAGTAGCACCCCTGTCAAATCAGACCCCCAGGATGTTGAGGAGATCCAACTTTTTTACGTTGTTATCAGAAAATGAATACATGATGGTCACTTTAGAGGCTTATAATCAACGAATAACTGATGCCGAAGAGTTTCTACTTACCTCAATCGATTTACTAGCGTGATTCGATACTGCCAAATATGTAAAACAAGTAAAACAAAGCACATAATTATGTTTATCATTACGTCAAAGATTTAGTTCCAAAGATGATGGGAAAATAATTCAGGTTACTATTTATGCTAATATAAAGTGGTACTCTCGTTGCTTATTTAAAAGTAATGAGTTCTGATGTATTTTTTCATAGAGTATCAATCAACTAAAACCGGATTGTGCTCTTATTCCGAATGGAATATAACTTTGATTCTTTAAGGGGTATTGGATCTTGTAACCATTCTAACCGACACATCTATGATAGCGACTTATTATTCATATCCATTATGTCTAATTTTAATATGTCCACATTAGGTAATTTCACACATTAAGTAAGAACATGACTCGTCGAATGTCCACAATCTATCGATAAGCCTTAAATTGTCCAATATCCATCCGAGATTTTTTATTATGGAGTTGAATACAATGCTTAATGGCATTCATAATTACGTGTATCGATTGCATCGTGCGTTTTGTTATCAAAAAGATATAAATAATAGTTTTATTTTTAGACCTATAAACAAAATCTTGAAATTCAGTTAACATTGAGCTATTCGATTCCAAAAAATTTCCTATGAACCTTTTGATTGGAATTATGAATATCCTTTTAACATGATGTTTTTTAGACGTCTTATACTACATTTTAGAATCTGATGAAATAAGTTGAAGTAATCATTTAAACATTTCAGAATGAGATGAAGCCACATTCAATTCGATATTGCAAACAAATCAAACAATAAAGGTCTGTTAGAATTGGTTTAATTTGATACCTTAGAAGTAAGGACGCATTCCTGCCAACGATATATTTTTTCCGTTTGAATATATCTTTTTGCAAAATCCCTTTCGAGATTTGGTGATAAAAAAGCAGCCAAGGAAGTTAATTGCCTCTCTGTTTATAACGATATCAATTTGTTTTCCTAAGTAAAAATAAAAATAGCACCCCACTAGTGTTCGGAATGAAGATCGAAACTTACGAGCCAGCTTCGATCGTGTCACAGTCGAACCTCGCTCGAATTCGGTTTTTTACAGCTCGTGCTCGCTAGAAGTTTCTTAAGCTCGGCTCGGTTGCAAATACGATAGCTCGAACTCGCTCGCGTATTTATTACACACCGTGCACGTAAAAGTGATTCTAATTACAGAAAGATATGATAATAAATTTGTTGTTTATTGATATTGAAGTTGAAGTAAAAAATAAATAAACGAAAATCTACAAAAAATAAAACTAATGATGAAAGAAAATAAAAAGGGATAGAATAAAGTATTGATTGAGAAAAAGAAAAAAAGTTAGTAAATAAGACGTAAAAAAAAAAGAATAAACATACACGAATAAAAATTATAATAAAAAAAGACAAAGAAAAAGAAAACGTTATTAGTGAGTACGGTCTTTAAACCAATGGTGAAAAAAACGCTTTCTTTAAGACTCTCGGCAGTTACTTGGGATTTAGTTGGTGCAAGAAAATGCTTATAAGTACTAAATAACCTTTCGCAAGAATTAGACGAAGCAGACGGGGAAAGGAATCGGCGTGCCATTATAGAAAGGTTTGGATGCATGCTTTCTAAATATTTCCAGTATGTCATTGGGACATTTTGCTCCCCTCCATTGCTTAAACGAACGGTTTAAACAATTTATTTTAATAGATAGTCATCATGAATGTCCGGGTCGTACTGGGATGTCGATCTTTTCTTGCTACTGCCACTGACCTAGTTTTCAAAAACATCTGCGTCCTCTTCGCACTTCCTTTTTTGCCTTGATCTAGAGTATTATCGGATTAATTTAATTTGTATGTTAAACAATGAACTGTGACCTACCTAATTGAGTAGTCAGTCAAATCAGAGTTACTAGCGTGTCTTGTCAGAAGATAGTCATGAACCAAAAAACTAGAAACTTCGTCGTCATCCATATTTTCCGCAGGTGGGAAAATCTGGATATACACTTGGAACTTGTAGTTTTTGGCCCGCTCATCCGTAACCATATACACAGCCTGTTCAAGATACCGACCTTCTTACCAATCATTGTCCGTCTAATACTGGTCATTGGATATTGGATCCATTGCAGTAGCAATAAAGTACACGTTACAGTCATCTGTTTTGGTGTCGTATTTTTCAAGCATCTTATAGGTAATTTTTATTCCAAGTCCAAGCTTGTCCTTGTTCTTTTGCAATATCGTGTTATATTGATAACGTTCATTATCGCGGTTGTCCAGGGTTATTAAAAATATCTTCATATGTTCCATTAATGCATTATAAATTAGTAAGATGTTAAAATATAATTCGTTTTTTTTTTGTTTTTTTTTTTTACTTACTTTTCTGATGACAATTTCAAATTAGTGTGCAAAAAACATGGCCAAAATATTACTTCAACTCTTTAAGTATGCCACGGCTTGGTGGTTTAAAGCATATTTTCCAAGTTTTGAAGAGTTTGATAGGAATGTCGAAATGAAGGCCTTCTCTACGTCCTACCACCGATTTAACAGCTCAATTGTGCTTTTCTAACGTGTTCGTGTCTCATACTTTAAAACAAGATACCGTTCTCCGTCGTACAAAATAGTGAACTGGTGTTATTGGATGATTTCCTTATTTTAATAGTTATTAGCGCAGAGTAAATCTTACAAATATATCATATTTAAATACCTTATCTTAAAAATTTCACGACGCATATTGGATATGGTATTCTTATTATAATTAACTCGACTGTCATTAGGGTCCTCATCTGCTTCAGCATCAACATCCTCTTCGATCTCCATGCGTTCGTATTTCCGCTAATACCAGATGGATTATCCACATGTTTTCGTTCGCCTCGGCCGCATGACCCATTTCGTGTTGGCTGTGGCGGTAGATCCAAAATCGTTTTTCAAAAGCTGCTGAACACATAAATTGTTCACATGAGGGAGACATGGAAGAACATTCGACATGTCTGTAATGGCGTCTTGCAGCCAATCTGGGGAATTAGGTTGGCCAAAAATCCGATGGTCATGATCAAAATCTTCGTCAATACGTTGAAGTGTCAATCGTTGTTGAAGTGAGATGCGAATTTCGTCCAATTGTCTAGTCAAGACTTGGATTTGGAGTATTGTAAATTCAGCCTCTTTGTTAATAAACAAAAAATTGGGAATACCTAAAGATCGACGTTTAAATATTAGAATTGATTGAAAAAACGGTACGGTTCTATATTTCTACCCAATGTTATTTTATTATATTATCGACCATAATTCTGTTTCTGAATTTCGCATTACTAGAGTACCAATGGTAGCAGAACAAGTCTTCCATATCATATGAAGGACCATAAGCAGTAATTCGTTGCCTAGTACCTTCTCTTACCTCACCCTTACATAGTAATTAATCAACTGTTGTACTTGAGCTCAAACGTTTAGTAAGTCGCTCGCAAATAAAGGAGGGACATCACGATGTACAGGGTTATCAGTCTATAGCTCACAATCAAGGATACTGTTCCAAATGAAGTATAAACATATTCTGGTTCCAATATGGTTTACAGTTTTTATACTGCACGTACACTATACCCACCCTTAATTATTGAAGGAACATTCGCATTCTTATAAAATTGATCCAAACCTGTAAGTATCCGTTAAACACTTTAAAAACCCAATCCAAACCCTGACATCCAAATAGTTGTCTCAAGTCATTTTTGTAAGAAAGAATAATATAAAATTTCTGGAGAATTTCCTCCTCCACGCCAGGCAGCGGGATTTTTTTTTATTTTTGAAGCCCTTAGGGTGTTTCCTCCTCTACAAACCAAATAAAACTGTTTAGTCAAAACCTTCTCAAAAAATACTGTTACAATTATACTTACCCTCCTCATAGATTGTGTCCAGGGAACCCATAAACTCTCGTTTGACTCTCACCCGGTTACGATGTTCAACATCTTTCTGGTGAGTTGGACCGGTGTGAGAGACGAGAGTTCTATGGGTAGCCCTGGAAGATTCTTTTGTGACAAGTATACTTTCAGGAGAAGGAGGAACAGGCTTAGGCTTTCTTTTGGCTCCAGCGGAGCAACCAGACACACGAAACAACCGTCGACACTTGCCTTCAGGTTCAACGTCCGAAGGACGGAAACTCGCGAAAGATAACTTTCTTTTGAAGGATGTGTCTTCATCCACAAAAGAAGAGGAAGAAGACCAAGAAGAGCCCACCGAAACCCAGGAGCCAAACACAGCAAAATCGCAATCCATGTCGCTGTCAAAGGTGAACGGCTTAGTCGGATTGACATCTACCGAAGCAGGAAAACACCAAGGAGAAGAAGAGCCCAAAGACACCGTATCAGCGGCGAGACCAGGAGTAACAGAACTAACCTCAAAAAGAGGAGATCTTGCAACAGAACAAGAATCTGAAGTTCCTCCAGCAACAAAAGGAACAACAGCACCACCCAAACCCAAATCCAAAGCACCAACATCCGGCTTGTCTTGGAGCACATCAACTGGATTTATTCCAGGATCGGACGAAGACAAGAGCACAGGAGAGACCAAAGGCAAAGACCCAACAG